TCCTGTTTATTCTGTAACAATTTGCCATATGCAAAGTATGGATACTCAACACCTCTGTTTTGTCAGGCGTGTCACAACTGAGATGACCCTAAAGACTGTCTGAGAAATAGTTTTATAGAAATTTAGAAATACTTAATTGTTGTTTCAATCTATTACCCACCAGGTGTGTATGTGTGTGTGTGTGTGGGGGGGCAGCACTCGTAATAACACCTTAATCATTATTCATAGCAAAAATCTACTAAACATCATCTAGAGAAAATTTATCATATCTGCATGGGAGCTACATTAAAGAAAGTTCTGGGCTAGGAATCAAGAAATTCAAGTATTAATTCCAATGCAACATCTAACTAGCTATGTGATCAAAGATTTTAAATTACTTCTCTTCTCTGGATCTCAAGTTCCTTGATGTGAAAAACCCAGAGTTGTCTCTAACAGCTATCCTATAGTATCAACACCCAGAAACCAACTGTAATCACCCCAAGAATTCCATCTTAGGCTGGAATCCCATCATGTGATTCTATCAGAGAGACCACAGCTCATGACACGCTGTTGGTCTCAGGAAAACTCCTAGGGAGAGTCCCTCATCCTCACCTTGCCCAGCCTCCCCTGAAATAAACCAAACAATCCAGAAGCATGCCAATCCTGGGAGAACTTCACTTGTATTCAAATAAAAGGACCAGTTTTTCTCATAATAGCTAACACACACACACACATTTGTCTGTCATTAAACACTGCATTTTGGTATTTTTACAAGGAAACACATTTGACTGAACCAACAGTCAACAAAGATGGTCATACACTTTTCTAGCAGCTTATAGGACAATGAGATCAGACTTCAGTAATAAACACCTCAATCCATGCAGCAAAAACACACCAAAAACAATGTCGCTTCAAATAGTCTATTGCTGAGTCATCACGACTGTTTAACACAGACAGCCCTAAGAGGTAAGAACTCACGGCCACCATAGTATTTCCATCACCACATCAAGGTCCTATTTCCCACAGCAGATCCACTTAAATATTTCAGCATGCCAACAAGACGCAAGACAAAGAAGGGGAATATTCCCCCACACAAGTCCTCACTCCTCAGTTGAGTTTCCAGCATGCAGAGTATATTGAGGATGAAGTTTCCTTAAAATCTGCCTTTACAATAACTCCCTAAAGCTTTCTAATGAAATATTCAATCTCACATGCTGCAACATAGAAACATTTTCAGAAGACTTTGAACCAAGGACAATTCAGTAGCAGACACTCTTCCAGTAAGACTTCTTTACCACTGCCAGACTTCTTTACCACTCTGCACCATTTTTAGAGCAAAAAGAAAAAGAAAAGAAAAGAAAACAAAACAAAACACCCTTGAAAATGTTAGGTAGCAACATGTAAATAACTCCTCTCTTCTGGAAATGCCACAGAGATACAAACTAATAAATGACTCTGTAAACACCCAGAGAAAAGCCATCATTAGCCCCAATAGTATGTGTGAATATAAAGCAAGCTGGACTTGTGCACAGGCGCCCAACGGGGAGGCATGCCCAGCATTTCAACCATCTAGACGTGAAATGGGAAGTGAAAAATCTCCCCGGACAGGAAAAAACAAAGGCCACAAGTAAACAGATGAGTCCATGACTGAGCAAGAGCACCTGGTGATCTTTCTGACTACATTTGCGTGGCAATGAACATTTGCTTGTGACTCATGGAAGTGAAGGCCCCATGTAAGTATGCAAAACTCAACCCACCTGTCCTAGCTAAAATTTGCAAATCCCAGCAGCCATATAGTACTTTCAAGCCAATACTCAAATGAAACTTGAGTAATTCTTCAAACTACAGCGTAGACTCTGCATGGGTTAGCCCTCTTTCTTTGCTTCAGAAACTTCACTTATTTCTGCGGGAGACAACTGTCCCTTCTGTGAGGCTATACTTCAAATCCATTTTCCAATTTTCTCATCTTCACCTGAAAATCCACTTGTCCTGATCTCCCACATTCTACAGCCTATCTTTCCTCAAATCTCATCTCACCCACATCCCCAGACTGTAGTTTTCCATTTGCCTCGCCCCTACTTCCCAACAGGCCATGCAATTCCACTGACTATTACTCTATAATATT